TATTGCATTTGCTCTTTTAACATGGGTAAACCTAACCAAGCACAGTTAAAGTGGACGGACGATTTGGACCTTGCGTTGTTACGCGAGGTTCTTCGTGTGGAGCCTTACGACTGCGAGCACGGTACATTGATTCAGCGATGGAAAGAGGTAGCTGCCAGTCTCTCGTTGTACTCGAACCAAGGCATCCCCCACCGCTCTGCCCGCGACCACTACGAGGGACTGATACAAGCATTCAAGGCAACGGACAAATCCCAGCGACAGTGGGGTACGGGCAGCGACGAAGACGTGCCGGAGAAAGTTCAACTTCTTCAAGATCTGGTGGACCGACGTGACGCGGCCGACACTCTCAAGACCGCTGTAAAGTCCAAGGACAAGAAGCGCAAGGAGTCATTGGAATCTACTGGGTCGCAACTGTGTGTCGAGGCGGAGCAGCGTGTATCAAAACGGCAACGCCCTATGTCTGCCAAACGTGAGCAATCTGACGCTATGGTTGATGAACTACTCGATTCGAGAAGAAGAAATAAATGGATGATCATGTGTTTAGAATGGAGCGTCTAGAATTTGACCGTGAAGAGCAACAGCTACGAAAGGCTCAAATGGCTGAGAATGCACAACGCGGTGCACTGTTGGAAAAATTATTCGTTGACATGGGGATGTTAGTGAAATCAATTGTGAATAAAAAGGAATAAGAACCATTTTATTGATTGATTTTAATGTACTCTTCAAGTGTTGGTGGTGATACCCCAAGGTACATACTGTTTGTATTTTTTCCTCGCACACAAGTAATGCAATTTGTTAACAGAACTGCGACTTTGTACATTTTGGCTGCTGGGCTACCTCCAACTCGCATCTTTTTTTTGAAATCGACAATTGGCCAGTACTGTAAAATTTGACCATAGCTCCACTCGACACTGACTCGAACACGACTCATACTCGCATTGACACATCGCTGTGCCTGATTCAACGTGGCACCGCCAAATGGAGACGCAAGTTGATTGGAGTAGCCGTACGCAGGGTCCCCATAAATGATGTAGCCCTCAAAACCACCATTATCTTGGATGGCTTCCTCCAGGTTCGATTGCCGCAAAATGGTAAGGTCGTGGCGGCGTCCTTCGATTGGGCCAAACGCGTGTGAAATGATGCCATCGGGGGTGACCAACGTTTGGAAATTGATTGCGTGACGTCTTTTGTGACCGTTAAACACGGATCGCTGCCTTTCGTCCGTGACAGGGCGACAACACTCACAAACTGTCCCATCAATGAACGCCCACACATTGTGTACCTCACCACCCTTGTCGACAATCGCTTTGCTAAAGGACGCCAACTTGGTGCGAATCCGGTTGAAGTCGAGATATATCGTGTCACGGAACTTGTTGTAGATGAGGTTGAGGGGGTGGAGGTAGATGTTACATAGGCAACTGCACGAGCGGCCAAACATCGCCATCAAGTCGGACCACCGGTCGGGAACAGCAAACCGGCGCAGCACGATGCAAAGAGCCTCGATACCAGTGCAGGGTGTGCGCTCAGCCGTCACCACACGTTCTGGAATGTCCAAACATCGTCTGAGTCGTTTGAGGTCTTCCTTCACAAACCGGAACTTCTCCTTCGAGTCGGCGTCGGAGTACTGGTCCAACGAGAAAGTCACATCTGGTATTGTCAACCGCTCTACAGCGGCTTGGCGTCGAATCAGCAACAGACGCAGACGCAAGCTGGCCGTGGAGTGCCGTAGCAATCGAAGTCGTGGGGATTGCATTGTCGAATGCACACTAGCCACGTGTTTTGCATAGTCCGTGAACCAGACTTTGCAAAACACGTGGCTTTGAGACTTCTGACTTTCAGTCGTTTAAATATCGAACGAAGTTGAAAGCTGGAAATATTGCTAAATTTTTGACTTGCAAAATATCTCTAATACTGTACGTACAATTTGATAACCATATAGAGTTATATCCTCGCATATGTTTTCGGACATTAGAGCATTGTTATAGTATACTTTAATGAAGTTTAAATTAAGCCTAATATTTGTATACTATACGAACATCAAATATAATCTCGGGCCAAATAACTGCTTTGGGATTTTTTGGCGGGTCTTTCTCGTGCTACCCTGAGCGAAAAAAGGCAGGGTAGTTATTGTTACCTATACGGTATACCTATCCTTGAATCAATTCTCATATGTCAATGAGATACATAGAAAAATAGAGTTGAAATGTCCAAACGAACACTTATTTCGGGACAGAGGTATAGTATTGTGCGTCTCAGTCAAATTTGCCTATTTTGGGGGATTGATGAAATCACCAACTAATCGAGCAAAGGAGTATGATTGGCTACAAAGAATGAAGGTTGTAATATGATTGGCTAAAAAAATTGATTGCAGTATTGCAGTCACTACATGTACATACATAACTATAAGATGACTGATCTTATATTAATAGTTAGTGACTGTTATATACTTCGAAGTATGAAATTTCGAATTGTTCGGCGGTTCAACCAACCGCCGGAGGAAATGTTTTGACTGTGAGTAGAACACACAATAGTAGTACTGACTGTGAATTTGTAAGTCCTAACGTTATTAATAGTAATACTATGTGGTACTTCGTATACTGCTAGCACATACTAGTAGTACTAGTACTCCAGTACTGACTACTAGTGCTAGTAGTAGTACTGTACTATAATACAGTACCTACCTTAATACTATTAATAGTAACTTACTGTTAGTAGTAGTATGTACCTGGTACTGTACGATACTACTACCGTTGTATATTGCAGTTTTCATTCCAACTGTCCGTTTTGTGGTGGTAGTGGTTATGACAAACTCAAAAAAATTGAGGTGCGTCTATAGTTAGTCGGTCGGTACTGGAGTACTATTAATAGTACTATGTGCTAGCAGTATACCACATAGTATTACTATTAATAACGTTACTCCGGAGTAGTACTGTACGATACTATTAATATTAATACTACCGTAGTATATTGCAGTTTTCATTCCAACTGTCCGTTTTGTGGTGGTAGTGTCCAAGGTGTCCCTGTAGCGGCATCAACAGCAACCGTTGACATGTTGACGCGCATACGATGAATGGACAAGTGAGGTGGTGAAATAAACGATCGTGATTGGGTCTCAGGAGCGCCGTGGTCAGCAGTGTCGCCACGTGGGACGACTACAGTATTCCCTCGAAAGAATGACCTTTATGAGTTGGTACTGTACGATAGTAATACTAACTGGTATTATTAATACCTGCTAGGAATCCCCCAACCAAATTAAGTTCCGTACTTTGAAACCCCCCAAACAAGGGATCTAACCCCTGCTGGGACGGAATTAGTCAACAACCAGCCCCCCACCCCACTTTGCCGACGTTACATATCTCCATGCACTTGAGTGTACGCTGGGAGTCCAACTGGGAGCGACATTATTCGCCATGTTACTGTGTGGATGAACTGTTGACTCAACAGGGTGCCCCAAGCTGTGCCTTCGACCGAAATATATAGAATTTCGGATATTTTGACCAACAAATACTACTTCAACTAGAATCGAGCGTTCTGATTGGTCGATTTTCAGGTCGCGCGTTAAATTACTGCGATGCCTCGGTGGGTCTCCAAGCGGTCCAGCAAAAAGTCGAGCGAGTCCTCTATGGTGGGCATCGCCGGCTGAACATGGATATCCCAGTCGTCGAGCTCGACAAAGCGGCTCAAGATCGGGGCCGTTCGACCTGCGGCTTGGACATTCAACAGCTGCACATCAGACGACAAGCACACGCTGTGGTCGGCGGCGTCCAAAAGAAGAGCCGCCGCAGGCACACGCCCGAGGCCGGCGGCATAGTCCAGTGCACACTTGGTGAACTCCTGGCAGTGCGGGCACTCGTTGAGCCAAAAGACAATGTCCATGTGGCCATACTCGGCCGCTTTGTAGATCACACGCCAAGAGCACGGCTCGTTTGTGTGGGCATGGAGGTATTGAACGATGTCCATGTGCCCATTGGCGGCGGCGATTTCTAACGCGTCGGTGCTGCATGGCACGTGGACGTGTTCATGGAGATGTTGCACGATGTTGAGGTTGCCTTCGTGGACGGCGCACAGCAGCGTGTCGGGACTCACCCAGTCCCGACCGGCGCACGACAACCACCGGTGGAACAGCGCCACGTTGCCGGTGAGGATGGGGAAATGGAGCAGGAACCGGGGGTGGTCGACGGGCGTGTGTAGTTTATGGACGCTCACGGGGTCAAGGAACACACACTCGTGGTTCAAGGTGAACAACACGTCGCTGCCGTCGCGGGGGGCTTGCCAGTCGCGGTGGATGGCGGCGAGGTCGTGGAATAGCCCGTACTGGTACGACGTGATGGTGTGCAGCAGATGTGGCTGCAGCATCACCGCTTCCGCGGCGGACTGCGCCAGAAACTGGTGACGAGAGGGCTCACAAGTACGCCTTCGTTTCATGGTCAAAGCAAAATGTAAACTAAGCGAAGGCCAAGTCGCGACTGTGACAGCGCACTTGAAGTTGCCACCACCGTGCTACTGCTCCCATACAATTGGAACGCTCGATGATCATACCACTGTGGAGAGGTGGCCGTCCGCCAGATGGACTAAATACCCGACGGTTATTTCCATGTGAGGTAAACATGGCAAGACTGTCCATGCATTCGACCGCCCTGCTGCTTTACACGGTGGGTGCCAACCGTACACATACCGTACCAATTGGGGACCGGGCCTACCTCTCTGGGGAAATGGCGTTGTTGGCAGCAGAGCCCTTCTTCCGCTGGACTCCGGAGCTACGTAGTCACGTCTGAGACGCCGCCTCGCATATTTCAGTTTTGTTCAGTTGACTTACGTCAACTTCAATGTCCACTTCAACGCTGGCTGGCTACTGCTGGGTAGTGAGTTGGCAAGCGAGTGAAATGCACACAAAGCGGATGCCTGTCCGTAACCCTTTTTGCTATGGACAGGGTGCACGAAGTTGAAGCTGCGATGGCCAGGCTGATCACAGCACAGGTTCTCATGATACATGACGGCGGTTTTGCCTTCTCGCCCAAGGATATGCGTGCAGCATGCACTTCTTCAACTGAGATCTCAACACTTGCGAGCCTTGCCGTTGTTCTCGTAGCCCCAAGCAAGAGATGACGGATAATAATGGCCATGGTTATAATGCAAACACGATTGTCATGGAATGAGGTTGACGAAAAGGTGCATGCCAAGATATGTACGGTATACAAAAGTGGACATACTGGCGACGACGAAAGTGAACATATCGGGTATTTGAACATATCGGGTATTTGCCTTTGCTCCAACGAAGTCTCGCCCGATCAACAGGTGGACGATAACCAAACTTGACTGTCTCCAAAAATCTACAAATCGTTCCTATAAGTATAGTCTTATCAACACGACGACGACGGGACAAAGCAAACTGTGTTGCAGACGTCAACCACAAAAGAAGTGCGTTAAGCCCTTTGACGCACGTTTCCCCCCTTTCAATAGCCATCAACATTGAACATGGGGGGATTACATGATCTACATACAGTACCTCCCCCTTGATGGTCTGAGCACCAGCCACTAATTAGTGTTGTAGCGAGTTCTGCACAACTCCCTCGTTGCTGGCTGGAGGAAGTAAGTTCTTTTGAAAACTGTACGAGCGACCAAGTCTATCAGCTCAACATCGATCGACTCATCCTTCGAGAGCCTAACCTACATATGTAGGCGCGTAGGCGAACGATCCAGTTCCTGTCGCGTGAGAACACACGTGACTGATGTCTGTTGTCGTTCTGCTGCGAATAATATGTACACCTGAACTATATATATATACGGCCGTCCAACAACTGCTCCTCCGCATGTATTATCTATCTGCCTGGCTTGCGCACAATAGCAATTGCATATGCACCATCCTCAAACCAACGCCGCCAGGTGTACTTCTGATGACGGGAAGACGTCGCCTCAACGCACATTGTTGCCCAAGGCAAAACCTACTGTAATGTACAGGCACACACTGGCCCCCACGGCGACTTGACTGGCCTCATCCACGTCGACCCATTCAAACGAGTTGTGTGGTGGGACCATCGAGGCTACAGTTGGACTGTGACTCTCTCGCGAGTGCCGCGGTTGTCTCATGCGCGAGTGTCCAACTTCAAGTGTACCACGAAGATCGATCAGTGTCGTCATGGGGCATTGAAATTTGGTGTCACACTGGATATATATATATTATATATATATATATATATATATAGTAAGCTGCTTATGCCAAGTGACTCTACCATTGAAAGGAAGGCATTTGGGCAACAACACGATGGATCGACTGACTTTGAACTTCGTCGCCGCCACATTACCGTTCGTTTCAACCTCCTGGCACCATGTATAAATAGCCCTGCGTAGAGGTCGTTTCGCTGGAGTGAGGGTAACTATCGTTACCACCAAACACCAGATTCACATTGCACTGGATCATCCGTTCATTGATCGTCCATTCGCATCTTGACAAGCATGGATTCTGCCACCGACGAAAGCTGGGCATGTCCAGAATGCACGCTACTCAACAACCTTGTGGCGGAAGCCTGTGAAGCCTGCGGGACCACGAGCCCCCTCGTGTTAGCCGCCCTCGCCCAGGCCGAAACCACCGAGCGCAGTCGAAAGGGGTCGGAGGAGTCGGAGACGTCGTCGAAGCCGTCGCGGGGGTCGTCTATGGACGAAGACTTCAAGAAAGCCGTGGATTTGGATCCGTGGTCCCAAGCTGAAGACGAATGGGCCCGCGTGGAAGCCACCCAAGCCACCAAGGCACCTAAATCGCGCAAGTAGCGAGTTTTCGTTTTACAGCTTAACGTTGCAACATTCCACGACAGCTACGTGCAAGTATGTACAATGTACTACGCCGTAGCGGCGTCTATGTTAGCTTGCTTCTGTTCTTTACCACACAAATCCAGCGAGCGATATGGCAACCAAATAAGTACATACAACGTTATTCTGGTACGTTTAGCCTGGTCTGGTCACAAAAACAACGGTGGCAATGGATGGAGATGGGCTTGAAATCATGTGCTTGTCAATGATTCTAAGGCTACCGTCGAAAGGAAAATGTGCGGATGGAATGAATCGACCGACGTGATTTCTCCGAATACTGTAGTTATATATCCATCGATCTACTAATAACAGTGCAAAAAACATGATATACTCAGAGTAGGTGCGAGATTTTGTGATGCCGCGCTACTTCAAGTTGAAGCACGAGAGTGAGTCGCGCCATGCCAAAGGCAACTTCAAGTGGCGTGGACGAATCTGAGTCTGTCGCAGTTCATTGGCACCACAACACCAACGACATCGTGACAGCGCCATGTCACGACGTCGTATCCACATATTCCGTGACGTGGCAAGCTGGCTACTAACCTTGGAATAATAGAGTACAGGGGAAGCTGAATCCGCTGAGACATCATCTATTGGATCCACCACGTGGAACCATGAAGTCTGTTGTCTTCTGGTCCCGTCCCAAGCCATGGAATTCAGGCCAGTCGGATTGTTCCAGTCGACGCGTTCAGAGACAATCAGCAACATGCCGAACTTCGACAGTGTTCGGTGCCCCTGGCCACCCATTCCCCACGACGGATTAGTTGCTTGAACGTAGTACTGTAGTAGGAGCGAGGGGACAATCATGATTCACGCGACGTACTGCTTTCGTAGCAGTAGTACTCGGTGATGGTATCAGTTGAAAGGGGAGGGTTCTGACTCGACCCTAACTAGGCTTCCTGGTGTCGATGCCAAGGACCTGAGGAAACCTGGGCCTGAACCAGCGACCATCGGTGTGTTCTTATCATACTTAGATCAGGTGTAAAGTGATCTATAAGTAGACGCGCTCCCAACTGAGCCAAAAGAACTGGTCAATCTGGACATGAGATTGTACTACGAGAATGTGTACTCTCGACTGTATCAGGGCCGACCAGAGAACTTTAACTTGTTCGTCGCCGTGTCGAAATCATGCCGAAGTCGTATACGCCATTAGGCGTGGAGTTGCACTGGTTTGTGCATTGTCAACATCATCTTAGGCAATACTCCGGAGTACAGTATATGCGGATCAACCAGGGTATTGGAGTGCAGCATGTTGTTCTTTGCGCGTCCACAACGTGCGACTTCGTACATTGTTTTGCATTGGGGTCTAGTGGCCTACTGAAACCAACCCCTCGACAAGAAATATCATACATCATTGTAGACTACTGCCCACTTTTTCAAGCGGCAATTGCACTAAGTATTATATACCCCAGGACGTAGATGTAGAGTGGAATGACGTCAGCGAGCGCAACCCCACATGCCTTGCGTTGCTGGATTGTAAGCTAGCTAGCTACCTTGACCTGACGGGTATGTATGTAGCATGCATGGACGAGCAGCCAAACACCCTGATGACTTAGAATAATTGCAAGCAATCACGACAGGCAAATAAAAATGCATAGACACGTTAATAATAGCGCTCCAAGTCGCTGTTGATTGCAACCAATTTTATAGCTCGCTCGGTTGGGCACAAGTAAAGTTGTGGCGTGGCTCCAACACAGTTGCAGAACTGTTTTCTTTGGAGACTTGGTGTCGTCACGAACTTCAGCATTGAGGATGAACACTGCATAACACAGCATGTGTGGAAATACAGCCATATACATCAGCGCCTAACAACTATAGTTCAAATTGAAGCCATTCGAAATGTGTCGCTTCAAGATCTACATGGCACCGTTTCGTACATAGTACGTTCATTCTTTAGCCAATTCATACATTATGTTATTTGGTACGCGTACAATGTACATTGTCGACGTACATGCAAACGGCGCGCACCACAATTCCTTCGACAATCGCAAGTTTGCAAGCATGTTGGCACACGAAGAAGCGGTCGACTACTTCTCGCTGCACAAGCGCAAGTCCAAGGACGTGGATGTCGAAATGCTCGACTATGAATACGTCGCATCTTGCACAGACGTCGACGTGCTCAAGAACATCCTTGTGGTGCTGCAATCTGGCAAGGAAGGGCGGTACCCCCCCCTCGAAGCCGCGGTCGAAGCCCGCCTCATGGAAGTCCTGCCTCCATCGGAAACACAGCGCATCCTTCGCATGAAAGCTCGGCCATCCGAAACCGACATCCACAGCGAGGCAGCGTCGCTCACGGCGTGGGAGGCCCAAATGGCGTCGAGGAGCGCTGAATTGGATGCCGCTCGCAAACTGTCGAGCCGGTCTCTGCCGCCGCCTCGGGGCGGTGGCAATTCTGCGGCTCCCACCGTCCGGATTTCGACCAAGGGGGACGTCGTTGACGTGAAACCCAAGGGGGAAAAGAAAAACACTATCCACGCGTACGACTGGCGGGCGTGGGAGAAATTTGACGTCGACGCGGCAGAGCGTGAACTCGACATGGAAGACGAGCGCCGACAAGACGCTGTCCGGCAGCAGAAGGAAGAGCTGGCCGCGCGGCAGGCTCGGAAGCGCTTGGACGACGCCGCCATGCCGGCGTCCGTGGACGTGGCCGCGATGTCGGCGGCGGAGCGGGAGGTGTGCGCTGGCCTGGAGAAGCAGAAGGGCAACGAAGCGTTCCGCGTCGGAGAAAACGACGACGCCATCCGGGCGTACTCGCGGAGTCTCATCTTTGATCCGACCAGTGCCGTCGTATTTGCAAACCGGGCGCTGGTGCACCTCAAGCTCAAGAACTTTAGCACGGCCGAGGACGACTGCACCATGGCGCTTCGCCGCGATCCGCTTTATTTCAAGGCGTGGTCCCGTCGGGGTATATATATATATATTTGAGCTTTGACGTGTATAATATATATATATACTCTATTTCACTGGTCTAACGAGTTGATGGTAGGGATGACTCGGTTTCGGCGCGGCAAGTACGACGACGCGATTTCAGATTTTGAAGCGGCGTTGCGACTGGAACCCCAGAGCCGAGAGATTCAAAAGCTGTTGCAAAAGACAAAGGAGAAGAAGGTTGATGTCGACGGCATCCCCCCCGCATGTCCCCCACAGGCGCCGCCCCAACCCCCCGCCGCGCCATTCCAGCGATTTGAAATACTCGAAGTCGACGACGAGAAGGAAGAGGAGGTGACTACACGAGGTGCCATTCACACAGCGGAATCAAGCACCAGAGAGGCGGCACGTCGCGACCAACCAGCCACTCGCGTAGTGGCGGAGAAGCCATTCCAACGGTTTGAAATACTTGAAGACGAGTAGGACGCCGACAGCGACCGCGTACTTGCGTATGTGATGAACATGGCTTGTGTGTTTCAGAAATACTACTAGTAGTTGTATACGGTACTATGTATAGTACTACGGACACTAGTACAATAACAATGAATAGTTAGTTGTTCCCTTGCTAGTAGTATCTCTGTCTCATCGGGTCACATGAAGGGGATGGATTGCTCAAACCAACTTATTGCCACACTATCTTTTCAAGGGCAATAATAGGTATAATGTTATTAATAACTGCAGTAGCGTTATGTTTCCTTACCGTTTAACGGATATGCCGGCCAAGACAAGCTCAATGAGGGTTTATCATTCAGAAGTGATGGCAATGCTCTTATGAGTACCATAGACCATTGCGATAGGAACGCCCTTCTATTGTGTAGTAGTACTAGTAGGTAGTACTAACTCTAAGATGCATTATAGGGTCAAAGTGATGTAGTCGAGATTATGACCACCACCCCCGTGTATCGTCATCCGTCACGATAACATGGTGTCGTTCGTGACTGCCGTTTGGTACAACCTGATGGAAACGAAGTAGAAGCTTAAGTTGACGAGTTCGCCGTTATGGCTGCAGCTGAATCACCCCAAGACCAGGCTTGGCCGTGGTTAAAAAGTATGACCGAGAGTCGCCCAGAGACAGCACCACTGCTTTGAGGACATGACCCGGGCGGAACATCTCTTCCAACTGCAGCTTGTCGATGTCGACGGGCCGGACGTCTTCCTTCCGCAGCGTCCCGGCAAACGGCTCCAGTAGCACGACGTCGTTGACAGAGTGGATTTCCAGCTGCAGCTGCGACGATGTCACCTTGATCACTTTGGCCACGACAAAGTCGTCCACGCGGAGCACGCCAGTCGACGCAATACGCTTGGATCCAGGCCGTTCAACATGCAATGCCGTGTGTAGCACAGGGGTCACATGGCCTGCCACCGACGCAAAGATGCTGCCGTTCATCACGTATGTGCCATTCCCAGCGCTGTAGTCGCCTTCTTTTCCGAGGCGCTGCCCAGGAACTACCGACGTCTTGGTTGCCGCCATGGTTGGTTTGAATTCACACACCAATTATTGTTCCCAGCGATACTGTGTGGTACGGATAATTGGACTAGTTTATCCGGGACGGTGTTACGACTTCGACACAAACCTGCACGACGACGGCAAAGATGCAGTTCGATGTCGGCAAGACCAGCCTAGGCAGCGGGCTCGCCATGGGAGCAGTCCTGGGCATGTTCTGGATGAGAGTGGTGATCGGCTTCAGCTACTTGGAGGCGTCGTTCTACTTGATCTTCCCGCTCTCGCTGACGGTCGTCGTGTTGACCGAGGAGCGGTCGCTAGGATCTGTCGTCGATGCCTTGTAGGAACTTCGTACATTTTCCCGAAACATCATTATCTGACATGGTGAAAACGCATGCCGCCACTCTAGGTTATGCAAGGTCAGCTCACTTGTGTGGATGGCCATGCACGCTGACACTCCTGCGACCGTTGCATCACATGACGACCACGACAGCGACGACCATGCCAATCTCCTTCCCCGTCCATCCGACCCACTGCTTGACATGCACTTCAAGGCGTCCAACACGTCTGATCTCATCACGAGCGCCAACAGCTCGCTGTTCAATGGTCTTCAGGACGACCTGATCGACCACCCCGTGGACCCGACCGGCGGCCCCGTCTACCTCCAGGATACGGCCACTGGTTTCTTCTTGAAGTACGTCGATGGAAAGGTCAAAATGACGAGCTCTCCCGACGACTCGTGCTTGTTCGAATGGGTCCAAGGCAAGACCCACCACTGGGGCCTCTTGTCGACAGCCTGCACGCGATTCGTTGGCCAGAACATGCTATCTCAGGTACACTTGGTGGAGCTCGAGGGCTAGTTTCTATGATGATGTGGTCCATTAGATTGTCGTGTCGGCTCGCAAAATGCAAAACTGGGAAGCTTTCCGTGTGCTTCAAAATGGTACTACTACTTCGTCCATATCTCCAAGTTTGTCATATCCGAGGTCGTGCTCCTTGTAGCGTCGCTGCCACCTACGTCTGGGCAGTATGGCTTATCCAGCTCCATCTACCTCGTGCTATGTTCAGCTCGTTTTGGCAAAGGTCATATACGTACTACGTACTTATGCTCCATGGTGTTTGGTTTTCCATTACCTTTGAACTGTTATCTAGTATTCTACCATCAAAACCTTTTGCATCTTGTCAAGTGCCCAACGACTAGTGTAAACAAGATCGAATTGTTATAATTAGACATGTATAAAACCTAGTCGATACTGATCAAATTAAAAAAAACAGATCGATTGTATTATCAATTGGATACTATAAGTTAGTATTTGAATGGGTGTATATTTCAGTCAAATTTGCCTATTTTGAGGGATTGATGAAATCACCGATTAATCGAGCAAAGGACTAGGATTGGCTATAAAGAATGAAGGTTGAAATATGATTGGCTCAAAATATTCATTGATGCATTGCAGTCTCAAAGATACATTTTCAAGTCAGTTTTATATGAAATTTCGAAGGTCCGGTGGTTGATTCAACCAATCACCGGAGGAAATTTTGACTAGAACAAATCACAATATATAGATCAAATTTATAAATATTGAAATGATCAATTAATTGGACACTAGCATTTACGAGTATGGAATAACGTTAGGCAACACGTGGGATCTATAGATCAAATTTAGAAAAAGACCCCTAATGTATAAGGTCGAATTCACAGAGATCACATGCATCAAGGTCGAATATTTTTATCTATTGGATATATATAGATTCGGTACAAATTCCCAGACCCCGTCGAATCAATCGAATCTCACCGCCGAATCGACGCTATTGCCTAATCCAGTATTTGATTGGCTCTTACAGAAAAGACAAGTATATTCAACCAATCAGAACTCAGCGTGATTCAATAGAACCACGCGAAATAGCCTAGAATTTCCAATATCTATTGGATATTTGAACCCATTTGAATAGGCATGTGGGTCTCCTCCCGAGGCCGCGACGACGACAAGTTGGTTGTGGGGCTGGCCAAGCAATTCCCCGTGGCCCTGTGCCTACGTTATGCCACGTCACTTGACGTATTCCAGTCTGCCGCCCTGCCTTGTTCTCCGCTATCTGAAGCCCCTCGTCCAAGTATGGGGGCTTCCCCCCACGACCAAGACATCCCTACCTCCTTCCATCAAGCGGCCACGCGCACGTCCATCCTCCACCATCAACTGCTTCCATCAACGTACGTCCCGCCTCTGTCAACTTGAAATAATATTTGTCATCTTGAAATAATATCTGTCATCTTGAAATCATATTTGTCATCTTGAAATAATATTTGTCATCTTGAAATAATATCTGTCATCTTGAAATAATATTTGTCATCTTGAAATAATATTTGTCATCTTGAAATAATATTTGTCATCTTGAAATAATATTTGTCATCTTGAAATAATATCTGTCATCTTGAAATAATATCGTTTTTTAATAATTCAACTTTATAACGTCAATATAATATAACCAACCCCCTTGAAATAGAATTGGCTAACCATTCTACTATTTTTCATTATTTTTGATCCAGAGTACAATGTTATTTCTACCTGTTGTAAACTATACTTGACCTCCTTTAACGTGGTGTCGTTATCTTGTCCTTTTAACAAGTTTTTTGGTCTGTTGGGTTGCTCATACGACGCGATATTGCTTGATATATTGTCGTTCTTTTACCCAAAATTTGGTGACTTTTGTGCGAATTCTTTGCCAAATCTATCGATCGATTCTTTGTCTTTTGTACGTACAATTCGTCCAGTGTCACACTAATTTCAGCCACTCACTATTCTTCGAGCTGGTCATTCGAATGGTCGCCCTACGACTCCGATTTCGAATCGACTTGACAATACTGACACTTTGTATATGTGTCGTCGTCCGTCACCTGAATTTCATATATTGTTGATTCGAGAGCATTTGATTGGCTGCTTGATTCTAATTCTGGGTTTTGATTGGTCCGCCGATTGTCTGCCAATTTGGTGCTTGCTGCTCATGATCAATTAATTCGATTACTATCATATTGTGCTTTCAAGTGAAATTTCATCGTGTTGTGGTTTCTCGTATGAATTTAAATCGATTTGATTGGCTACCTCAGATGAGTTCAACATTATTAGCCAATCAAAACCTTCTCAATGAAATTCAACAACCAATCCGATCGATCCGTTTGGTCGGCGCGATTGATTCGATTGCACCCCCTCCCCAAATTTGTACTATCAAATCGACAATATCATACTCGAATGAACAATACTTGACTACTCACTGTACTACATCAACTATATTATGAAATACCCCTCGAAACTTGATATGATGGGAGATGATTTGGGTTGCAGGGTCACCACCGTCGCGGCATTCGCCGACGCGTACGACGCCCTGCTGCCGGCCCACACCGACCACCCATGGCAAGTCCATGCGCTTCACGGCAACGTGCGCAGCATCAGCTACCCCACCGCCCTCTCCGACGCTCCGCCGACTCTGCCGCCTCGGTCCCCCGCAAACAACGTCCTAGTCGTGCACGAGTTTCACCACTACGAGTGCAACGTCGAGGCCACCGAGGTCACGTTCGAAACAAAATTGACCCTCGGGGACACGCTCGTGCCTTCGTTTAGTGTCGAATTGATTTACACGTTGAAGCAGCAGCAGCAGTCTCCCCCCCTTTCCCTTCCCCCGTCCACCATTTCATCCAGTGGTCGACTGTCTTCTTCTACGGCGATGATGCTGGACTGCCACGTGGGCGTCCATTGGGCCAAGCCGTGCATGTTTGAAGGGTACGTCCATCTGAGCGCGGTTCGCGCGGCCACGGCGCACGCGCGGCACCTCGTGGCGCAGCTGACGAACGGACCAAGAACCTCGTCTTCCTGGACGTCGAGCTTTGGGGCTTTGCTGGTGCAGGAGCTCCACCAGTGCTTTGCCGCCCCCAGCCACGTCCTTGTCGGCCTCGGCGGCGCCTTTTTCGAGGGCCCGCTGACCCCCGTGTACTCGACGACGTGGCCAATCACGCCCGCCGACTTTCATGCGCGGATGCTCACAGACGCCGCGTGGTTCTTTCGGCAGCGAGACCCGGCGACCGTGCCGGCTGCGCTCGACATGAGTCCGTGGGCCCCGTGCGCGGGCGGACACATTCGGTATGAATGACATGATATGATGAGGAAGAAGGCGTTTGAATGGGAAACGTGTACTTATAGAGTGCAGCGGTTCATGGTTGCGGTGGCGGGTCGACAAGAGCTGGTGGAGGAGTACCAGACGTACGCGACGCCAGGTACGACCAAGTGTTTTAGAGTGTTTGCGACGAATGAATGTGTGTGTAGAGCCGAATACGCTGCAAATTGGACGCAAGATCACGTTGCCTCGGACAAAACCATGGACGGTAACCGTGATAGGGATATGGGGGGGGCTTACAATGATGCTTTGGTGGTTGTTGGTTGCCGTGTTTTAGATGGACATTCGATGGGACTTTGAGCTGCAAGACGAGATGGTGTCGACCGTGGCATGTGCCGTGGCGTTCCACTGGGCGTTGCCCCGACCTGCGCGGGCCTCCGACATCGAGAAGCACGTGATTGCAGGTACGTGGTCTTGTCCGTGGAACGAGTCCAGCTGCTGGTCGAATCGATGGAGGGTTGGAACGTGTGGTTCATGAAGGATGCATTGTAGTGATGCTGGCCTCCATCGAGAGATTCCATGTCCTCATCACTAGCCAGGAAGAGATGGAGAACATGCCGTGGCCTGATCAACTCACGACACCGCTGGTTGAAGCCCTTGTCGGATAAGAGGACTAAACACGTCCATAATGTCTCACCGCGACGAAATATACTAACTTCTCGTAACACAATATATAACCATAGTATTCCCATTGAATGTTATATTCGAGTGATGCTCCGATCCAATGCTCATCAAACAAATAGCGTCAGATACAATAGGACAAGTAAGTTTTGTACACAGCACTGTAGGTAGGTACTTACTTAGTGCATGCCTAATGCCGTAATATACCACTGCCACCGACAGACCTGCCGCCGTGGAATGGTGAGATGTTTAGTGTATTTGGCAAGATATGATTGGGTGCTGCATTGGACTGCAATCGGATGTTATCCGGAGACCATGCTCATTCTTGATTTTTCCAATCGATGACGACGGAGGCTTCGTATCTGACGCTCAAGCAGGTGAATGGCGACTCGCACCGCATTGAGATCGACGTGGCATCCGCGACAGTCCTCGACTTGAAGCTGGCTGTGCAAGCCAAGCTCAACTACCCTCCTGAATCCCAACGGCTCATCTTCCAAGGCCGCGTCATGGAAGACACGAATTCGTTGACATTCTATTCCCTCACCTCAGGGCTGACGGTGCACCTCGCGGTGAATACAAAGCTTGTGCCGTCTACGCCGGTTGCATCATTGCCCTCTCATGTGTCCTCTGCAGCCGTCCATGCGCCGTCTCCACCATCTGCCCCCACGACCAACCTCGTTCAGCTGCTGCCACTGTTGCGTGCGCATCCAGCCGGCCCCGCGGCCATTGCCACGTTGAAAAAGATGGCAGAGAATATCCTCGCCAACCCCACGGAACAAAAGTACATGAAGATCCGCTTGACCAACGAAGCATTGAAGCGCAAACTCCTGGACGTCCCCTACGGGTTGCAGTGCGTGACGGCCATGGGGTTTACCGCCGGCGTCGAAGAAGGACACCTGGTGGTCGTGCCCACCGCCGCCAACTGGGATCTCGTCGTCGCATCTAAGCGCATCATCGATCAGTTTGACGCTGTCCCGTCCTCGTCCTTTTCAGCGCCAGCCGTTGGCACCAACCACCCTCTCGGTGGCATGTCGCCGGAATCCCTCTTGGCTATGATGGACAACCCCATGTTTGCCCAGATGGTGGCGGCCAACCCCCAGCTGCAACAAATGGCCCAGAACAACCCCATGCTCCAACAAGCGCTGCAGAATCCCGCGCTTCTGCGGCAGTCGTTGCAGGCCATCCAAAGCGACCCGTACATGCGACAGCAGATGCAGCAGATGATGGCCAATCCCCAGCAGATGATGACAGCGAGTAGTAATCCCATGTTTGGACACAACGCTTCCCTGGGCGGCGCCCCTCCGTCGCCGTTTGCCGCCCCCGTGTCCTTGCACCAACCCCCCACCGCCGCCGCGCCGGCAGCTACTGCTCCAGTCGCTTCCCCAACTGCCCCGACCAACCCTCGATCCGAAGAAGACGAGATTGCAGAAGCCATCGCACGCTCGTTGCGTGAAATGTAATCGAAATAACTCACCAGGATGATCAACAGTTAATGTCCTTGTTTAGTAAGTTTACTACGCCTCCACACCGCCTGCCTACTGTGCTACTATTACTTTATTGATATTAATAGTAGGTCCTACTACATGTAATAGTATTGTTCTACTTCGAGCTACTACTAGTAGTACTATAGTATTTACTAGTAATATTAATAGTAGCTCGAAGTATTAATAGAACAACCTACTATTAAAATAGTAGGTCCTATTGTTCTACTTCGAGCTACTACTAGTAGTACTATAGTATTTACTAGTAGTAGGTGGTACTACCGGTATACATTGACCGTAAAACCTGCGATAATAAATATGTCACCTCTAAGTATTAATAGTACACGGTAAGATTGTTGCACACCGAGTGAACGGGCAGTGTATACGCACGCACACACAACTACGGCACCTTGGAGCGCGATGGAACAAGACGCTCCCGCGGCGGTATGTGCGCAGAAATCTGTGCCTCTGTCCTCATCCAGCTGGTCTGAGTTCATCATGATCTCCACGATTGCGATATCGTCCGTTCTCATGCTCGTGCGCGCACTCTTTGGCGGGGACGCGTATCGCCGCGCGTTGAAGAACAAGTCGTCCAACCGATTGCTGGGCGGCCGCAAGAAATTCCAAAGCCTCCATCAGCAGACGATGCAGAACGTGGATGAGAGCGTGCTGGCCGATGTGCAAACACTCGGGGACTCGGTGCTCGATGGGTACTGCACCATGAAGAAGGGATCGTCGAGCACGACGTGGAAGAAACGATGGGTTGTTGTTGACGCCTACGCCCGGGTCAAATACTATCCCAACGCCGAAGGATCTCGGCGCAACACGGCGCCCAAGGGAACGTTCACCGTGCTGTCTGTGGACGTGGCGCCGTCGACGTCCAACAACTCGAACCAGCCAACATTGGAAGTGCGCAACACGCTGGGCGGCACGTACTTTTTCCACTTTGACGACGACGTCAAGATGCAAAAGTGGCTCGTCGTGCTCAAGAGCCGCGCCATGCAGAGCGCCATCGACGGTCCGTCCCCCCTTTCCTCGTTCTCCTCCTCTATCGTCGTCGTCGTCCCACGACTCATTCTTCTAGGCCGCATCGACCCGATGCACTCGCGCGACCGATCGGCGCCGCACATGAAGCACGACTTGATCGTGCTCGTCGAGACGTTCAACGTCCTTGCCCACAAGGACACGTCCATGCGATCGTTCTTTGCCGTCGTCAAGTTCAAAGCCGAGCTACACGACCACTCGGTGATTCCTGTCAAGCAGACCAACCAGCGCAGCTGCAGCCACGTACGTCATATCTTGAACGATAGAGCAACCATGTGTTCTACTATTGAGGGTCGACGAGAGGCATCGGTCGGCGGTGCCCCACGTCTTGTGTTCTTCTATCGAGGGGCGAGCGTTGTCGTTCTAAAGCATCCGTGGATATCGGATGATATCGACGCTTGTGTTCTACTATCGAGGGTGGTTCCTGCATATAGTGTGTGTATATGCATGCTGTCCCTACTACCGAGTAGACTGCTCGTCGTCTTCTATTGTCTTTTAATTTGGACTCTTTTGCGCTGTTAATCAATCGCTTGTTTGTGTACTGAATGTTGTATAGAACAATCATCTAGTGTCACACTAATTTCAGTCACACACTACTTCGATGATGTTGCCATGATCCAAGAGTGGATGATTTGATTGGCCAATGGATTCGTGATCTGGCTTTTGATTGGTTGATATTTGATCGTCTGCTGCTCATATCGATTGAGCAAGCACCCACCCACTCTCTCCACTTTTAAATCATCGACAACATGCCTCTCCCTTATATATATATATATATCGTCGCCAGTGTTCTTATATCGAGGTTGAATTAGTCGCGCACGGCCGTGTCATGGAATGAATCCCTGCACTGGACATTCGACGACCACGAGTGCGCCACATGCGACGAGTGCGTCGGCGTCGGCCTCGTCGGGTCCTTCGGCGGCCTTCCGGACCTGCTCGTCGTCAACGTGTTCGAAGTCACGATGCGTGTCAAAACCACCAAAATAGGCCGCGTCTTCGTATCGCTCAAGGACCTGTTTGGCCCCAATGGCTTGACCAAGTACGTTGTTGACATGTTTATATATATATATGATCTGTCGTGTGGATTCGTTAATATATATATGTAGTATATATATGATCTATCGTGTGGATTCGTTTATATATATAACGGATCCATATATATATATATATATATGATCTGTCGTGTGGATTCGTTTCTATATATATATATTTATATGATCTGTCATGTGGATTCGTTTATATGTATATAAATATTTATATGATCTGTCATGTGGATTCGTTTATATATATATATGATCTGTCGGTATTGCTATGTGGCCCCATTCGTGAGCCATCAATCAATAATACAAAGCTCGATATTCTTTACTTTGTTTCCATCATCGTCTGGATATATATATATATATATATATATATATATATATATATATATATATATATCGATATATGGAGAGTGTAGGTCTACTTGGCGATTCTATATATATTTATATGATCTGTCATGTGGATTCGTTTATATGTATATAAATATTTATATGATCTGTCATGTGGATTCGTTTATATATATATATGATCTGTCGGTATTGCTATGTGGCCCCATTCGTGAGCCATCAATCAATAATACAAAGCTCGATATTCTTTACTTTGTTTCCATCATCGTCTGGATATATATATATATATATATATATATATATATATATATATATACATATAGGTCCAGCGTGGAAGCATCGTGGCCGATCTTGGCGTCGTCAACGCGCCTGCAGGATGAAAAAGAGTCGATCTTGGGCACGTTGCAGATGACATTGGACTACACAGCGACGTCGCAGGTGGACGCCACCGCCGCACTCACGCCGTTCCTCACGTCCGCGCCATCCGATTTGGAGCTCCTGGGCGAGTTTGAGCTGGACATGCCGCTGCTGGATCTGCTGGACACGTACTACGCAGACCCGCCCGACGGAGCTGAAGCGTCGGCCAACCCCGTGTGGGCGCAGTACATCAAAGAGCGCGGCGACACGGAGGTAATACATCCTCCTCGTGCATTTCAGAAATCACATTTGCCTACTTTCTTTGGGGGCTTGATCGTACTAGCTAGTACTCAAACGAATATGATTGGCTGCAAAGAAAACTCAAGGTTATTGGCTGAAAAGATATTGATTGTATAATGTCGATTTGATAGTACAAATTTGGGGGTGCAATCGAACGAAATGCGCCGACCAAACTGGATCCACAATCGATCTGATTGGTTGTTGAATTGCATTGAGAAGGTTTTGATTGGTTAATAATTTTGAGCTCATCTGAAGTAGCCAATCAAATCGATTTAAATTCCAACGAGAAACCACTCGAAAGCACAATAGTATGTATGCAGTCGCAAACGATATACCTCTTCAACTTTGTTTTATATTAAATTTCACAGGTCCGGCGATATTGAACCGCCCAAGGGAATTTTTGGAGTAGCATACACAATATATGGACCCATATATGAATCGATCGATCGATTGATTGCTTTGACCCCCCCCCAACTGTGAAGCACAGTACAGTACCCTGTGGTGTTGGTTCTGTCTGTGGTGATTCGTATTGATGTACCTGTCACACTAATTAAAAGTCGGCCATGAATGAATGTTTCGAATGGTTTTGACTAATTAGTGTGTCGTCGTGACTATATTTGTGTTTGTTTGGTGGGGTCGTCGATGCATGAGTATTCTCCATTATGTGGTCTAGTTTAGAATACTACCATCTTTCAGCCTCAAAATGTTTTGGTCGTCGGCTGACGATATCCTGTATGTGTATGCGTCTTCTGATATATTGTCCTTTTAGCCAAACTTTGGAGTTGGACTGAAAATTAATTTTGTATATCAAAAACAAGGCAAGCCGTGCCATCACTAATTCAAGTCACACACACACACTATTTAGTTGTGAATTTGTGGAACACCGAGGATGGTTTCACCCGATCGTGTGATTGGCTCCATGCTTTACTGCCGATTCTTGTGCTCGTTTTGTGTCGATAGTACAATCGTCGGTCTAGTTTCTGAGTCTGAGTCTGATTCCGAGTGTAGGTCGAGACCCATCGGTGGGAACCGTCGCCCGCGCACGGCGGGTGGGTGCGCGTCGTGACCTTTCGCAGCCTCACGCATGCGCCCATCGGTCCGTCTACGACCATGACAACCAACACGTGGCAGTGCACGGGCTACGATTGGACACATGATGGCACTGTATCGCAGGTGACGTTTCAGATCAAAGTGCAGCTGCACGACATCCCATATGGCGACATTTTTACAGTCGAGCACTCGATGACGCTGACCAAGTCCTCCCCGTCCAACAACAATGGCGTGTCTGTCAAGGTGCGACTTGTATCTACAACGATATATATATTGATATATATATATTGATATATATATCGATATATGGAGAGTGTAGGTCTACTTGGCGATTCCGTTTTCCAGTGGATGCATGTTCAAGAGCAAGATCCTGTCGCAAACCAAGACGGCGACCCACGAATCGTACGTGTTGTGGTTCCGATTGCTCAAGGAAATGCACAACGCCCCTGGTATGTTTCAAAGTGTCTATATATATATATATATATATTGTCCTTTTAGTAACCAACATTTGGACTTGCCAAACAAATCCACGGATTGATTTCGTCGTGTTGCATGTTTGTATTGAAAACATGTCGAGTGGTGTAGCACTACTACTATTAACTACACTCTAATTATTCTTTAATCTGGACCATTGGTTGGTGGATTGTGATTGGCCACTTGATTCGTGTTGTGGGTTTTGATTGGTCGATCGATATTTGTCTGCCGATGATTCGGTGTTGCCTGATTCAATGCAATGGCGATGTGACTAGTACTTGACTTTTGATCAAAAATCTCCTTCTTGTAAATATATATATATATATATATACCTGTCTATATGCGTAATCCATAAACTGGATATACACACACATTCATCCGTGTATTTTTTGGTGGACTAGCTACCTAGCCGTAGATAATGACTGGGTATATATAGCCATAGATAATGACTGCGTTTATATATATATATATGTCTGCGTAATCGATAAACTGGATATACACACACATTCATCCGTGTATTTTTTGGTAGACCTAGCCGTATATATATATATATATATATATATATGACTGCCCATATCCACTTCCTGCTATTCGATGGGTAGGCACGTCCATCGCCGCTACTTCGGTCAACTCGGCGGCAAAGAAGCGCGCGCCGCTGGTCCGCATGTGCAGCATCGTGGACGAAGAAGTAGCGCTGGAAGAGATCTTTGAGAACCAGCGCATGCATATCTTTGGCAAGTGGGGGCCCAACTACCTCTGGCCCACGGATCGCTCTCGGTTCTCCAACCGCCAGGGGGACAAAGAGCTGAGCTTTAACAAGGTCGAGTGCCCCGAGCACTGGACGTGGACGTCCGAGTGGAAGGTGGACATGAAGTACACTGAGTGCGACGAGGAAGGATGGAGCTACGCGACGGACTTTCCTCGCTTCAAGTACCACCTCGCCAAAGGAAAGTCGAACGCGCGCAAGGTCGGCAGCAGCGTGCGCCGACGGCGATGGGTGCGCACCATGTGCTTAAACCCTGACGCCGACGTCGCTTTCTAGCCGATTTGATCATCAGCCTTCGTTGTACATACCCTTAACATGGCCACACGTTTCGTACTAACTCATACGAACAGTAGTAGTACTAGTAGTAGTAGGAGTATTATTGTACTTTATGGCTACAAACACATATATATCCACGAAAGGATGAAACCCAACACGTTACAGAACCGTCGTATACGGCTGCAAGAATATGACGAGAAGGACTACGGGCTGAATACGTACGTATGTACTACGTTACTACTGGCTGCTTTATTATAGGTGCAGCAGGTTGGGGGCACTGCACCCAGTTGAAGGGGGGGTGCAGGTGCAGCTCATTCGACGAGCGAATATATCGAAATGACTTGAGAAAACATGGCTAAAAAGGCTCGAGGGGTGGCTGTAGTGAGGTACTACAGGATGGATCATCATTTGCGGCAGTGAAATGTGTTTTCACACTATTTTAGGACAATACAAGACGATCGATGACCCTTGTGAGTATCTCGCCTCGAAAGGTCGACGAAGAAGTACTACTAATAGTACTACTACTAGTAGTCCTACTCGGAGGTAGTAGGGACGTTTGTCTACAAACCATCACAGTAATCTGCGGTATGATTTCAATATAAAATAATACATCACGCGGCCGCTTAACCACATATTTGGTGAAATCACTCTCAAGTCCAAGAATATTTGGGTAAAATGCACAATATAAGGACTTGTGTGTACATAAAATTGATTGGCTAAAATACACTACCAAGTCCAAATGGGAACAAAAACGATGTGGAAATTCGCACCGAATCCACCATTCCAATCCACACGTATATTCTCTTGGTTAGTAATACTACTACTACTACTACTACTATTACATCCACATACTACGTAGTCATCCGATACGTACGTGCGTCCTACTAGTACTAGGCGGCGGGGGTGTACATCTTGACAAGCGTGAGCGGGTGGCCCCACTCAAAGTACCCGCGCAACGAGAACGGTCCAAATTTGTTGCGACCGACGCCGTCCACAACGTACGAACCTGGCGCGAGTTCGGTGAACTCGAGGTGCACGCCCTTCTCGAGCACTTTCTGCGGCCGACTGTGGCCCCCCTCCCCCATCACAAAGAAATAGCCCGTGTATGCACCCGTGAGGGGCACGCGAACGTCGTGGGACGCCCAGTGAGGTGCCACGCACTTGTAGGCGAACTTGGTGGGGGCCGACGGGAGCGTCTCGGTGAAGCCCCATGTGCCGGTCCACGTGGCTTCGTGCGCGGCAACGTTGTACGTGCCGCGAAGAACTGGATGCAGCGACTCGGTGGGCGGGGGGAGGATGGGGGTTCGGGGGGTGGAAGAGGCGGAAGACGGCGCAGGGATTACACCCACGAGCACCACATCGTCGTCGCTGCTGCTGCCTCCAAACTCAACCTCTTCTTCGTCCTCCGAAGGCAACAAGAGCTGCCGCGGCGTTGGTTTGGCGTACCGAAACGGATGGTCGTGCGGCGTCCGGGCGGGTGCCGCGTCCCCTTCTTCCTCATCCGACGAGCTCCCTGACGACGACGACGACGAAGATGATGAAAACATATTGTCCAACAGGGGGGTTTTGGCATTGTAAATATGGGGCGGCAGTTGCTTGGCTTGCAGACGGAGGGGGGAGTCGGGAGGGAGGGGAGGGGGGGGATGGCCCTCGACCGGCAGCCGTCGCGGGGGGTTCGAAGGTGGTGGCGGCGGCGGCGGTGCCTTGTCGTCGTCCGACTCTTCTTCTTCTTCGCGGTGGTTGGTGTCGGACTCGTCAAAGGCCGCCGCAATCAGCGCTTCTTTGCATGGAAACGGGGGCCGAGGGTACGCCGACAGAGCCGGGTCTTCGTCAGCGGGTTGGTTCGAGGCGGCGGATGGGGTGGGGGTAGCGTACACGACGGCAAAGGACGGTACTTCCTTCTGTGGACCAGGAACGAACGGCGTTCTCTCCCCCACCAATGGAGTAGGGGTGACCAACATTCCTCCTTGGTCGTGATTGGAGGGAACACTCGGACTGTTGCCAGAGTCGTCGTCGTCGGACCTGCCAGAGAGGCCCATGTCATCTTCACTTACGTACCCGTCCGACGACAGGTCGCCCTCTAGTTCGGCCGATGAGGTCGGGAGTGTTGTGATGCGCTTGCGTCGCCGTGGGCGCCCATCTGCAGCCGTCCCGCCCTCCGCCGCCTCATCTAGACGCAACGTAACCGGCGGCTCCAACGGATGGCAGTAGCTCTTTGGTGCAGTGACCAATGGAACCAGATCGGACGATGGGACGACGACTTCGTCGGTTGAGGGGTTGTTGCTTGGTGAGTTATTTCCTTCAGTGGTGTTGGTTGGCGGGTACCTGGCCTGCCCATCTGACCGATCAACGAGGGGGGCTTCTTCCGTGGTGGTTGGAGCTGCTGCCGCGGTTTCTGGCGGGCCGCCACTGCTGCTGTTAGGTTCGCACGACATGTCGACATCTGCGACGACGTCCGTGCTAGGTTCAACATGGGCGGAGGTCACGACTGGAGCTGATGAGTCTCCTTGTACGGCTGATTGGGTGGCTTTGATCGGTGACGAGAGCGCCGGCTCGTCTGCGCCACTCAAAATCGACCCAACGGCGCCATCTTCCCCACTCATTTCGACGAGGGCTGCATCGTAGTCGTTGCTACTACTACTTGGTTGAGCAGCTCCAAGCTCCTCCTTGTTATCCGTCGCCCGCCGTTGATCTGAAGACTCGTCAGGCAGGGAAAGAACGAGTTCCGGCGTGAGGGGAAGGCCACCGACGCCATGGACGTCCGACTCTAGCGGTTGATCTCGCGGGATGGCAGCGTCTGGCGCCGACGACAAGGCCTCCCAGTGGTCGGAATCTGTCGATTTTACTCCGCCTTTGCTGGCGCCTGTACTACTACTCTCCACAGACCCGTCCATCCCCCCGATGGCGGCGGCGTCCCCGTCATCAGTCGGCCCTTGCTCGCGTAATGGAGTGGTGGTTGCCGGATGCTTGAGTGGTGATCCAGTCGGCACCGACGCGGCGGCAGGCAAAGTTGGAACGGTTTGGCTTTCGATCTGCAGCGTCGCGGGAAGTGTGTCCTCCCCCGCTGGACCCCCCCCGTCCGTCGAGTCGTCCTTGTCGGTGATAGTGCCCAATAACGCAAGGTCCAATGTACTGACAATGTCGTCGTCTTCATCTTGTTCCGCAAGTTGCTGTAGAATCAACGAGGACGTGTCGTCCACTGATGGACCAGCAACGGATGCACCCTCCCCAACCCCCTCTACTTCCCCTTGTTCAACGGCCTTGTCGTCTGCTACGGCGTCTGTTATTGGGGTGGCCATCGACGGAAGCAGCTCGGCCAACGAGTTGAGAGCTACGACGTTCCCCGAGGCGTCCGACTGGTCCGATTCATCCAGCCGCACCACCGCCGCCGCCGCCTTCTTCGTGTCCGGTTCCGTCAAGTCCACCGTCACAACTTTGGAAGCGAGCAGCCGCCGCCGCCGCCGCCGCCTCGCGCCGGGCGTGAGCTCAGGCGACGATCCACTCTTGGGTTGTTTCGTCACCATGACCACCACGGCGTCGTTGTCACTGGAAGACGATGATGACGAAATGTGCAGCGGATGACGCGGGTCGAGTGCGTCGTCATCATCGCTGTCAATGACAATTTCCACGGGGGGATTATATAGATGACGACGACGACGGGGGGGGGGAGGGGGGGGAGTAGACGACGATGACTTTGACACGGGGGGTCGTTTCTGCTTCTTCTTGGCGTGGTTGGTGCTAGACTGATGGGGGGAGGGGGGGACGACGACCTGCTGTCGTTCGTTCGCAACGTTTGATGTTGAGGTGGTTGCTGCTTGTGCCAGTCCATCGGTCAGCCCATTATTGGCTTTGTCAGTGACCAAGTGGCTGATGGGGGGGGGGAGGTTCACGACGCTCTGTTCAGTCTTGACAAGAGGAGATCTAGCCACCGTCGATGATTGACTAGAAGACGACGAGTCGTGCGCTCTGTCGCATGGTTTCGTGGCTGTGACATCGTTTATCGCGTGCAGCCCTTTCATGACCACCGATGACGGTTGGGGTTTCTTCTTGGCGGGGGACTCATCGTTCGTGGCAGTGGGCGGCGGCACTCCACCTGTTTGTGGGTGACTCGAGTGCTCTGGTTCTTGCCGACGCTTGCGCTTCCGTCGCTTGGCTCGTCGTCCGGCAGAGGTGGAAGGCGTCGACGGACAAGACTCGTCTAGGATCCACACGGGGTTGGTGCCGCGGGGCCGCGCAGTCGCGTTGTCCGCCCCGGGAACCTCCTTCTTGACGCGCTGCAACCACGTGTCAGGGAGGTGTGTCGACGGCGGGGCTCCTGCCTGCAGACGGGGGCAGCGGGCGGCGGCGTCCGGATGTGGCGGGGGGGTGGACAAAGGAGAAGAAACTGACGGGAATTTCGAGCCGAGACCGGGTTGTTCAACATGGGAAGCATGTGCCACCATGAGGACCCCTTGGGGAAGGGTATCTGTGGGATTTATCCTCCTTCTCTCCATAGAAAGCTGATTTGACGAACCAGCAACGCCAATTTCGGGTGCAGCAATGCCAATTTTGGGTGCGGTAACGTCACTTTTGGGTTCAGCAACGCCAATTTCGGGTGCAGCAATGCCAATTTCGGGTTCAGTAACGCCAATTTTGGGTGCAGCAATGTCAATTTTGGGTGCGGTAACGTCAATTTCGGGTGCAGCAATGCCAATTTCGGGTGCAGCAATGCCAATTTCGGGTTCAGCAACGCCAATTTTGGGTGCAGCAACGCCAATTTCGGGTGCGGTAACGTCACTATCGGTAGTAGTAGCAACGACGTCAAGGGGGGTAGATGCAGTTGATGGGAGGAGGATCAAGTCATCTGGAGCGTCCCCCCGTTCAGCTAATTGGTGTGGATTGTGTCTCAGTGGCGCAGTTGGAAGCGATTGGGGGCCTCTATCCCCACTGGCACCACCGTCAAGAGTGTCATGTTGCATGGAAGTCGCAGATGGATCGGATGCAGGTGGTCCTGGCGCCAAAGAGACAAACGCAGTGGCGCCAGCTGGAACAGTCAGCGATGTATCTACCCCCACGCACGGGGCTTGTGAAGATGGAGACACGTCGATTGTAGCGCCAAGTGCCGGCAATTCCGTGTCGACTGTGGTTGTGGGTGGTGGCGGAGGTGAAGTCGGATGACATGCTGGATCGAGGATCGATGGAGCAGACAATGTACGACTATCCGTGTCCTTCGGCGCAAATGAAGGGATGAACGGGGTTGTAGATGGAAGTACGTCGCAGGTGTCGAATATGGATGGCAAAGGTGCAACGACGACCGACGCGACTTCGTTCGTTGACGTGTCACAAGGCAACTCTGACGACGAATAGGAAGATGTCGACGCCGCGATGTGCTCGGTGAGGTCTGTGGAAACGACGGAGTGGGGCTGCAGCATGGGAGACAGAGATGCGCTTTGGGGTGGCTTGTCGACTATTGCCACGGGACTGTGCGGTGTGGGGGATATGTCCGCCGGGGAAGGGATTGGCATGGTGCGCGTGATGGGTTGTGCTGTAGCTTGCAATGCATTGTCGAGGGGGGGAGGTGGAATCGTTCCTGTCGTCGGCATAGCAACGTTCTGCTCCGAAGGCAAGGGACGCGTCAGAGGATTTGACATGGAAAGAAGAGAGTCGACTGTAACTTCTTCGGCATCTAGCCTTTGCTTCTTGCACGGGGGTTCTTCATGCACCTCCTTGGCGTCTCGGGCAACCACTGGAGACGACGCGATTGTTGAGGCCGTTGGCGAAACAGTCCCAGTCACGTCCTTTGGGGTAGCGATGTGGGGAAGCCGGCCGTCGTCCAGAGCGGCATGCGCTGCCGAGGACATGTCGCTCGCAGGACTGGGCTCTTCACAGGGTTCTTGGTCCATGGCGAGCTAGCTGGGTTGAAGTGGGCGCACCACGTATGATGATGATGGAAGGAGATTTCTTGTCAAACCGACAATTGGTTCACGGTTTTGATTGGACAGAACTATAAATTGCATAGATACTCGCTGTGGATTGGCTAAAAGCATTCCTGGAGATTTCATAACAAGTGCGGCGTTTCTAATTGCCCTTCTTAATTCCTTCATTTTTTAGTTGTACGTCTTATAATCATTTTCTGCCAGTAGTGTCGTTAGAGCTCACTCTAATTGACAGTTAGCTTGACACATGTGTGTGTACAGTACACCGGAGTAAAGCACAACGGTTCTACAATACTTTGCGGTTCATTTTGAAGAATATCTGGTATGTTTCGTGGAATCCCATTCAAGTTCGCAGTGTTTCCATTTAATTGTCGCTCATTATATTTCTTGGTTCACTTCTTCACAGTGAATTCGGCTCGCAGTGTTCCATTTAATTCCGCGGGAGTGTTGACGCTCATTATATTTTGATGTTCACTGATTGACAGTGTGAAATCGCAAAATTCAATATATAATATATTTTCGTAAACGACCATGATATTTCGCATATACAATCTACTGGGGTACACAGTCTCTGTAGTGTTCTTGACACATTGAAGATGAAGTGTGCCCAAAGCTGACTTTCGCGCATTTCAAATTCGCCTCCATGTAACAAGGTTGGGGATTCCTACCTTCATCGCAATACTACTCGACAATGCCCTCGTACAGTACCTCCCGGCAATCACCTCGAACACCTGTAAGCAAGCCCTTCAATCGATACCATATATTCTTTGAATTTACACTTGAAGCTTACTGGTAACCGCAAAATGGTGTAGTACTAATTAAAGCGGTAACGAAAAAATTCAATTTACAATAATGAACACATCTGTGGATGGCAGCTTGTGAGAACTTCCAAATCTCCACATTCCGACAACTTTTTCAACCTCTGAAACTTGGAGATTGTACATCGTTAGCTGACTGTGAAGTACTGGTATGCTTTATCCAGAATATATTGTATATTGTGTTATGCAGTCATATTGCACGAACAAAAATACAAAAACCAAGCGAATGGTTTATACTTGAAGTACGTAGTACCAATTTGAGAATCCTTTATGACAGATGCTGTTATCTTGATCAAAGTATGTTCATTTGCTTACAAATTTAGTAGTAGTACGTTTTTATCGTACTACTACTCCGGAGTACTATTAATAGTAGTAGATTTTAGGTACACAATAAAAGTCCATCTATTAATATTTATTAATAGTATACTTCGAAGTATGGGTTATAAATTGCATTCTCTCTTTTCCGGATACACATAAAGTTAATACTACTACGTAGTATAATACTAATAGTATCAATTTGCAAGGGTATCATTTCAGTATTTTGCGCCGTTTGATTGATTTTTGAGCATAATTTACAGTTAAATTGACAAAATGTAAGTAATGTGTCATTAACGTTACTATAAATTCGCTATATGCTTATTCCATATTAACATAAATCACACTGGAACTTCTGATTGGCCGAGTATACTGTACTACTTCGAAGTATCTACGTAATACTACAGTGTATTATACGCATACTCTGTTCAACAAGAATGATCACATTTTCTTTTTCGCTCAAATGTCCCTCTTTTGACTTAATTAAAGTATGAGCATGTCTCGCCAGATGGAAAAATAATACTAGTAAGCTGTAAGATACATCGCAGGAAAACGAACAGGTTTTCTCACCTCCACATGCTTGTTCGCAAATACGCTGTTCGCGGTTGCGAGACGAGTGAAACCAGTGGTAGCGAGCGTAAAAGTCCAAGTTAAGGTGCTCGATCCATTTTAAGGTGCACCCGAATTTGCCAATCAATTCTCAGAAAGGCAATTTTTACCTAACCGCCAAAAAATATGAAAATGGGAATACAAAGACTAAGCTTAAAATGTGCACATTAACAGTAAATGGGACCGCTTGTCTTAAGCTGTTTGTGGTCAATGTGGTGTGAATGATGATGAATTATAACAGGAAATATGTATGTTTTACGATTGGAGATATAGTGCACTTCATCTAAAAACTTCCAACTGGCCAAATTGAAGAGTGGAGGTTTTATTATTTAACGTGCAATTAATGTAGTTAAACCCAAAATCCAGATTCGTTAAATACCAATTGCATGCGTTTTATCACTGGAGTGGGAGGTTAAAGGTCCCAACTGCCTCCGGATATTAAATACGGATAAGAGTCACATACAAAAATCAAGATACACTTGAGCGGCCACCCCTATGGCCAAATATCCAAGCGCCCATGTAAAATACCGCTAGGTTAATTATCTATTTCTGGACCAATTCATCACAAAATTTGAATCTGAGACGTAAAATTTCTTCATCACATTGAGATCTGTCGATTATGCCGTCTCAATTTGCTGCAATTTTGAGTAATGAATATGAAATAGAAGTCAGAAAATTTTGTGAAAAGTTGGTAGTTTATAGATGACGTGCACCATACGAAACACGAAATTTCGTAAACCCAGATAGTGGACATATTTTGATTTGAAATTTGTATGCCAAAATTATATCCAGAGATATAAAGGGTTTTACGAAATCGAGTATCCGGATATAGTTTCAGAATCTTTACACAGCAATGCCATCGGCCAAACGCAAGCCCCCAGCGGCGCCACTCCCCGAATAGGCCTGGATTTTGTCTTCGTGAAACATATTGTACTTCGAAGTAGAATACAATCCGACACCTACGAGTCGAGTTACATACCTTCCACCGCAGCGTATCCGAAAAAGTGTTCTTAAATTGGCTATCCTTTAATTAATGTCGCCCAAGCTTCCCCAATCAAATTCGTATTTGAGCTGCTTCACACATTGAGTGGTCTACTTTCCCTTGAGAGTGAAATTCCTCCGCCTATGCGACCTGTAGGGTACTCAGCTGCTGTCATTGTAAACATGAAGTCAATAGCAACATGAATGTACGGTTTTAACGATGTTAACGTGGATTTAGCGAGGCTGGCGGGTCTTTGATTTTAAAATTCTGTGATACAAAAAAAATATCACCTCATAGTTAGAGCATCTCCAACGGTAAATTCTAACCTATTGCTAAAGCATAGGTTAAAGTCAAACTTCGTTTTTACGGTTGCTATTTTGGCACTATCCGGACTTTTTAGAAATTTCGACTCGCAGAATTTCTATTTTCGCGTGAAATAGCAACAAACCCTCCGGATAGTGCTAGAATTTCTATTCTATATCCGTAACTTCGAATTGAAATAGAAATAAAAACACCGTTGGAGATGCTCTTATTGAACGATATCGAATATTTTCAGTTAAAAAGTACCAATGGTAGGTACTCCATAGTAGCCTGTACCAAAATCTTGAGTACGATTTGCACCAATCAGAATCGTACATTCGTTAAAATTTGATTTTTTCACACATCCTTGAATAGCGTTAATGTAAAGGACCAGTAGAGTGTCCGATATCAGAGAATGGCCCAAAGTAGTTTTCATGACGAAACATATTTAATTACACATAAACTCTTGTGAATACGTTTCATACTGACAATAGAATTACGAGATCCCACTATTTTGATGTATAGTGTATTCACATGTCAAGCCTAAATTAGGGCCATCTATTGATCTGCTCAAAATACACAATTTTGACTTTGACCAGCAGTAACTTGGTGAAGCATACATCGAATCCTTCAAAGTTTGCTTGTATGCTGTAGCGCGTTCAATAGTCTATAATATTATCATAGTTGCAAGTCCGTCCAAGTCGTCTTATTTGTTGAGAAAGCGTAAAAAAGCTAAGGGGTTGATTTTCGGGCCATCTACTGTACATCTACTGTACTGGATTTTACTTTACGGTGGTCAGAGAAATCGAAAAAAGATTGTAAAAATAGACCAAAATCAGCGCAAAAGTCCATTAACGTTAGGGCTACTATGGAACAGCATACGTCCACTGCACAAAATTGTTCTGCTCGCGTTTGCGCATACCAGTACTATAGTAGTACGTATGTTATGGCAATGATGGCGTCACATTCATGCATGCAGGTCGGTCAAGCCAGACGCTGGATACAACTCATGAAATAACTTTAGTACAGTAGGTCTCTCCAATTTGGTGCTATTTTTCCACACGACAAGCACCCCCCTCCCTCGTGCCCCATTCCACCTCTCGGACAAAGGTTAAATCTCCAATCCTGCAATCCCTAGCACAGAAACGAAGGAATCTCCACAGATGTTTTTCACTTTTTCAATTTTAGTAATCTGGTGCATGATGTTTTTACTGCTTAACTGTTAACTTTCACGATTTTAGTAATCTGGTGCATAAAGCACACCCAACGATCATGACACGACGACACCTCGTGCGGTGATTGGCTCGCCATGTCCATGCTTCCTACCGGATACAGACACATGCGTCGTATCCGGATGTCCACCCACACTAGCCTTCGAGCACTTGTCTCCACTCGTCGATACCTTCGTCCTCATGCATCCCCACGCCCTCGCGGCTCATATGCATCAGCTGTGCAGCCCCAAAATGGCGGCGGCGGCGTCGGCTTCCCCGTAGTTGTGTACAACCGTGAGGATGAATAAAACACATCAACCATGGGTTGTTTAAAACCAGTTTAAAACACATGTCACCTTTTGCTTCAGGATCGCCCCCGTTGATGTCAGCATTGAATTTCCCCGACACCTCACACATCCTCATGATGCTGACCCGCCTGACGTCCGTCCGCTCGATTAGCCGCACGGCCTGTGTGAATGCTAAGATTGCCAACAACATCACCGACCTTATCGGCAACACGCCACTGCTCTACTTGAACCAAGTTACCAAGGGTGCGCATGCCAAGATTGCCGTCAAGTGCGAATTCATGGAACCCTGCGGGAGCGTCAAGGACCGCATTGGTATCAGCATGATTGAAGCCGCGGAGAAGGCGGGCGTGTTGACCAAGGACTCGCTGATCGTCGAACCTACGAGCGGCAACACGGGCATCGGGCTCGCGTTGGCCGCCGCTGCCAAGGGCTACAAGTTGCAAATTGTCATGCCCGACTCCATGTCCATGGAGCGCCGCATCATCCTGAAAGCGTTTGGATGCGATCTCGTCTTGACCCCAGGTACGAATACCACCACCCATTCTTGCTGACAGCGACCAAATGAACTCACCAGGTCCGCGCGGCATGACGGGTGCGTGCTTGAAGGCCGACGAGATTGTGGCCAAGACCCCCAACGCCATCTTGTTGCAGCAGTTCAAGAACGCGGCGAACCCCCAAATTCATTTCGAAACCACCGGCCCCGAGATTTGGAACGACACGGACGGCAACGTGGACATTTTCGTGGCCGGCGTCGGCACTGGCGGCACCATCACTGGCACAGCGCGGTATAAACAACATCATCATCCAGCCCCTTTACTTTCGATTGCAGAATCGATATTGACCTTTTTCATTGCATTTTTCGAGTTTTTTTTGCCTTTTTTGGCCAAAGTCAAACGTTGGATGATATCGTAGTAGTAGTGGTTCGCTGTATATTGATTGTCCTTTCAGCCAAACATTGGATTTAGATATTGACTCGCAAAATCCATCGAGCGATTGTTTGTACTGACTTTTGTATGGACCAGTTTCACACTAATCTCAGTCACACACTAATTCGATGTTGAATGGTTGAAGCGAGAGTTTGATTGGCCACTTGAATTGTGTTGTGTGTTTTGATTGGTCAATATATCGATTGTCTGTCGATTTGGTTCTTCTGCTCCTTCGATTGAGAACCCCACTCCAGTTTCGAATCGACTTGACAATATATATACTTCAATGAGTATATTATATATATACAAGACTAACTCTATATATACGATCAATCGCAGGTTCTTAAAGCCGAAAAAGCCCGATGTCCGCATCGTTGCCGTGGAACCAGAAGAAAGCCCAGTGTTGAGTGGCGGCAACCCCGCGCCCCACAAGATCCAAGGCATCGGCGCTGGCTTTGTACCTGAGATCCTCGATCGATCATTGATTGACGAGGTCGTGACTGTGAACGGCCCCGAGTCTATGCTCATGGCCAAACGGTACCACGAGAATCTGCCACGTCATTGTCTACGTTCTATTATGAACTGAATATTGTAGGTTGGCCCGCGAAGAAGGGATTTTGTGTGGTCCGTCGTCGGGCGCGGCGGTCGTGGCGGCACTTCGTCTGGCCAAGAAGCCCGAAAATGCCGGCAAGCTGATTGTGGCCGTGCTGCCGAGCTTTGGCGAGCGGTACTTGAGTTCCGCCTTGTTTGACGAAGAGCGCGAGATTGCCACCCACTTGCCAACTACTCCCATTGAATCATAAGAGCATCACGACTGTAAACACAAGCGTAATTTTCTACTAATAGTACTACTGTTCGAAGTTTCGGATAATTTCTCTTTTATCCGTGAAATTAGGTGAACAAAGTGGGCGAGTTAACAGTAAAGTTAAGATTTGATTCTCTGGCGGGTGATTGCATATTTTGCCAATTTGAAGGCCATTTTTCAAGTTCGATAACTTCGCCAATAATTTTGCGCAGCTTGAAGTATCCAAACAAAGAGGAGATCTTCAGCTTGCATTTACACCAATCAGAAACGAGAACGAGTAAAAATGCTTAGGACAAAATACTTCATTTTGAAGTCTAACATGACAACTATTTTGGACCAGAGTAGCATTTGGTTTGGAGCAACACTAAATTTTCTCACAAAAATAGCAGCTGATTGGCTGAAAATTTCATAAAGTTCTTTTTTCTACCAATCATGTATCGTGGCACGGAACCAAGGTTTCCAGTATACTTCAGTACAGTTAAAGTGTACCACGTAGTACAGTAGTCCCCCGGAATAAGGAACCCACCATAAATCTATATCCTCTCAGAAAACATAAATTTGCATGCAAATCAGTCATAAAATCCGAGAGGTACATTCAATTTATTTAACTGTAAATTTACCACGCAAATAATATAACACTTGTTGGCGACACTCACACTTGGAACTCAGCATACCGTCGCCGTTGTCGCGGCTACGATTGACAATCGAGCAGAAGCGTACACTGTTAAAGCAGCATGCGTCACGCGCTGCCATGAAAAGAGTTGAGTTGCGTCGATGGGCTCGTTTAGCATTTGGCCTTTCACGTGACCCTCTAAATTCGACAATGTCACGGTGACAACCTCCTGTAGACAAAACACACACCAACAAACACGTTTCATTCTTTTTAAAGGCTATGCATACTACCAATCAACTCATAAACCTCCTTGTCAATAATACCAACCAGTATGGCGCCAACAATTTACAATAGTGTCTTGCGTCGCAGATTGCCAAGTCTCCTTGGCCCACTCCAACGCTTCCCACAGACTAACTTCGAGCAGTGCTCACGAGTGACGCGAAATTTTCTTATCAGTTTCGTCAGCCGTTTCAACCAGCTTGTCAAATATTTCAACAACATGCAATGCTCGCAGCGCACCAATCCTATGACGGATGGACATCGTCATGGTCATCGTGGAAGTTAAGTTAGGATATCAACCCCCTCCTGAATTCGAAAATGATGTCCATTTTTCAATCCGATTACATTGACCAATCAGAAGCAAGGAACCCACCGAAAATACCTTTTTAGTTTTATACCTGAGCAAGCAGTGATACCTCTTAAAACGTATCGGAATCAAAGGTTCCCTATTCTGGGGGACTACTGTATGTTGAAGTGTCCCACTTAAATGCAATTAATTAAAAACTAGAGAAATTGAACGGCGACTTCAACACCACCAACACATGATCTTAACTGTAAGTCGAAGAAGTTGAAGTCGAGTGGGCTACCTCCAAAATTTTGGATGTATCGAACAGTCGTCCCAGCTGAAGGATTACTAGTATCTAGTTTACTCTTGGGATGTTCACAATAATAATTGACCAGTGAGGGGAATCAAGATATTTTGAAATGGGTAAGAATGTAAATAAATACTATTGCTAAATGTCCATACAAACCACTAGTTTAAATTGGATGATTGAAAATATCACAGATGGTAGTAGATATTATGTACGAAACGGTCGTTGGCTAACTGACTATGGTCAACAAACAGCACATTTCATCATACCAAGCACCAGTATTGTAACCTCACCACTTGATTTCAACTAACTACCTACCTACTACCTACATCGATCCACCATGCTTCGTGCCATCTTCTCCCTTGCTGGGATGGACATCTCTGCGACGAATGTGCTGCGCCACCTTCAATCTTCGTACGAATACAGCCGCGGGTCCGCCACTACGGTGTTGGTCATTGCCATTGCGTTGATCGCCGTGCTCGTATATATCGGACTCCGCGTCACGTTTTGGGGGATGACATCGCCTCGGCTGTCCATTTTCCTCTCGACTCTTGTGGCAGCCACGACGATGCTCGGGATTGTATTGCCCGATCTCGTGACGATATTGGTCGGGTTCGTGCTTGCTTTGATCCTGTCGTTGGTGCCAGCCTGCCGCAAGGTTGGCATTGTGGCCATTGGTGCTGCATACGGTACGACCGTCGTGGATCTGTTGTTGGGAGCCATTAAATTGATCTCGTCGGACCTGCGCGCGTCTTCGATTGCGCTCGACATCGTCGCGTTGGTGGCGATGGTCGTGGCCGCCGCGTGGTGTGGGGTCCGCGCGTTGAAGGAGCACGAGACGTTCCTCGTTTTCGCCACCAGCTGCACGGGGGCCTTCGTAGTGTCTGGCTCCATCGCAGCCGCCATCGTGGTCGTAGTCGTCGGTGGTATGGACACTTCGTTGTTTTACTACGCGCTCTGGGTGTGTATTGGTGCGGGCCTTATGTTTGGTGGTGTTATGCGCCAAGCTGTTGCGCTGAACCAAGCGACTCCTAATGTCTCTGTGACAATTGCTACCCCTGTCAAGGACAATACGATCGTTTAACGTGGTTCTATCATTGAGAAGTGCATGCCATTGCGTTTCCTTTCCCAAAGGACACAAAGTTGTCCAGCCCGTCCTCTATTTTAACTATAGTTATTACTACAGTAGTAGTAATATTAATATTCCGTACATGTTGACAAGTTAACAGCACTACCGGTATCAAGATAGACACTATTCCAGTAGTAGTTTTTTTGTTTCTTACAGACTGTAGTAGGTGCAGCTGTACAGCCAATTCGTCCTAGTGATGTTGGGTGGTTGTAAAGAGGCGGTCTGTATATACGTATACTCCACAACAAGTGGAGGTACTATTGTGCTTTCGAGTGAAATTTCGTGGCGTGGTTTCTCGTTGGAATTTAAATCGATTTGATTGGCTACCTCAGATGAGCTCAAAATTATTAGCCAATCAAAACCTTATCAATGAAATTCAACCAATCAGATCGATTTTGGATCGGTTTGGTCGGCGCGATTCGATTGCACCCTCCCCAAATTTGTATCAAAACGACAATACAATGAACCCATGCTTTGGACATCAAGCTCATCGGCCATCGCTTCTAGAAATTGCCGCCTCGCACCTTCCGCAACAACGAATCCCTTCCTCGCTTCATCTCCCGAGCTTACACCGCATTTCAAACCCCATTCGAGGCTAAGACATACCGTATCCGTCAGAACTGCTGTCGCATTACGATGGGATTCAAATTGGCGTCGTTGTAATTGCCCTGTCTGCCCCCCCCGGTCCCCACCCCCTGCCTCGAAAACCTCGTGTTAAACCAATGCCCTCGCTACCCCCATCGGCCCTTCTCTATTTAATACTCCCCCCACTAGAATCCCATCCGCAAGTGTCTTTGTTGCCACCACTAGCGATCGTAGTAGACCTATCCACAAACGTGATAAGGGGCTGTGTGTTGTCATATTTTATATTGAAATCATACCACAGACTCGTCAAACGAGCTGCGCCAGGCACTCACTCCCTACTGCTGTAGTGACCCCATCAGCTGCACCCACTATGACACATGTGACCCTTTAACGGTTTGCAAATGAAACAATAGTTGTTAGTTAAATGCATGGCTACAAGTTGGTTGGAAAGCAGCGTCCACGTTCGGTCGATGGAAGTGTTGGCCCCCAATCGCCCGTCGAGTCGGTCAACGTGACTAGAGGTGCGAGCCGAGGCTACACGTCTGGGTGGGCTCCTCCACGCTCGCCGCATGCTCGTCGATCGATTTGGCGACGTAAAACACGAAGCTCGAGATCATGCGATCTACGCCGTCAACTGCAACTTGGCCAGGGCTGAGCAGGCCCAACCACACGTGTAGCCTCGGCTCGCACCTCTTGACGCTGACCGACTCAATGGGTGTGTTCAGTGGTGGTGGTGGGGGGGGGCAGCACTTGCATAGGGAACTGATCAAATTACAACGGACTCGATGGAGCTGATGCGTATTGCAGGTGGAAATGTGGTCGTTTTGAGTGGTGCTGGCGAGTCGAGTGGCCAGGTCAGTCTTCAATCCATTTCATCCACTAGTTCTGGCGAGGTGGTCATTGGATCGGTTGTACAAGTACTTTATTGTCGCCATGTATCGCGATCGGATTAGGTCATACTTCACCTGGTCGACAGAAACCTTTTCCTTTGCGTCTTCGCTCGTGATTTGGTCCTCAGCCTCGCTCCATCGATCGTCGAAATCACAAAACTGTTACATTATGTTTATCATCCAGTAACGTTACCGGGGGTTTCATCACATCGACCGGATAATCGTTTAGTAATTCGGATAATTGCATCGAATCTGAAACGGCTACCGCCGCACGCCATGTAGGTTGTCCGTTTCATTGCCATTCTTCATTCGTCGCGATGGCTATTATCAAGCATGCGTTGATGGCTCTCGTGCTCCTTGGGTTAACCATGCTTCAAGGAAGAGACGTCGCGCTAGTGCAAGCTCTGGACACGGACTGCGAATTCGACACGGACTGCCCCATCACGATGGCGTGCGTGAAGATCAAGTACCGGTCGTTCTCGACGAGTCAAGTTCGCGGCAAGTGCGCGTTGAAGAACGTGTGTCGCGGCAGCAGCTCCGGCAACTGCCCCAGTTACAACGCTCCGTCGGCACCTGGAGGAGAGCTCGCCACGCAATGCGTGCTCGTGAACACCACCAAACTTCGCGGCATCAAGTGCTGCGGTGGGACGTGGACCGGCGGCGATCCCAGCCGGCGCTTGGTCGACAACGCGACCAACACGACGGGATTCCAGGCGGCAGATAGCGCCGATTGCTTTCAGTGCTACGTCGACAACACCAACAAAAAGGTGGGGCCTCCCACGATTTACGCTGGGCAGTTCTTTTGCGTCCCCAAGGACGAGTGCCTTTCACAAAGCGCGTTCCCATATGCTTGCAGCAATGTCAACCGTACGTGTTTGCTGCATTCTCTTTGGATTCATGCGAGCCATCCATCTAACTCGATGGGTGGCTGGCTACTGTATACATACATGCCTTCACTGGAAGAATAACTCGTCTGCGATATGGTTAGTGTGCACGTCAGCACCTGGTGTGTTGTGCAACAACCACGGCACGTGCTACCCCAAAGACATTGACGACCCCAAGACGTCGTACGGATGCGCCTGCGATACGGGATTCGGTGGCGAACAGTGCGAAAAAGTCCTTTCCAGTAAGTATAGTATTGGGCCGTTCAACTGGATGAGGTTTATCATGTTATGGTAGACACGTGTCAGTTTGACTGCGGAGACGGTAACACTAAAGGCATGTGTGTGAACGATGCATGCAAGTGCCGCGACGGGTGGACCGGCGACCAGTGCCAAAAGTGCACGACGGACGACGCATGCAACGGCCTCTGCGACACCGTTTCGGGCACGTGCTCGTGTGCTGTTAACGCCCTCGTCGAGTATTCGCTCAAGGCCAACGTGTGCTACCAACAGGTATATATATATAATATCTATTGTTCATATTCTATTTGAAACAGCAATTGATCGATTGAGATACAGTATATTTTATTCTAATACAACAATCGATGGATAGATTGCTCTATAGACTGCATATATGTTCGATATCCCAGATAGGTCTAACCAAGACTACATGTATTCCATTGTAGGGAACTAAATCCGTGGCGGACATGTCGTCATGCGCCAGTGTCACATGTGGCGCCGCTGGGTTTTGCACGGCCGGCAAGTGCTTTTGCTCGTCCGGATGCGTCGGCTCTGCGTGCACCCCGTGCGTCGACACCGCGTGCGCCACATGCACCAGCTCTGCGACATCGTTTTTGCGTGGTGGGTGGCTGCTGTGGACGGTCGTGCTGGCGGCGCTGACATGGACTAGCAGCGCGGTCGCGTAATTGCGACATATTTATGCGCCGTCTACGTAGTAGTTCCTCCACATAAAGCGATATCAATATGACATTACCACTATACACATACATGCTGCACGCAATCTCTGTTCATCAACGTTGTCGAAGGAGAGTATAACATGTTCGAAATGTCCACGTTGAACGAGCCACTTCAACGTTTAACTAGTCCTAGTTATGCTACTAGTATTAATAAGTGTGTGGTTGTTCATATTAATAAATGTAAAAAACGCATTGTACTATTGTGCTTTCGAGTGAAATTTCATTGTGTTGTGGTTTCTTGTTGGAATTTAAATCGATTTGATTGGCTACCTCTGATAAGCTCAAAATTAATAGCTAGTCAAAACATTCTCAATGAAATTCAACCAATCAGATCGATTGTGGATCGGTTTGGTCGTCGCGATTCGATTTCACCCCCCAAATTTGTATCAAATCGATTATACTTAAAACTATACGTTTGTCTTTGTACTCCAAGTCGAAGTTACGTGGCAATCATCTAGTGGCCAACTCTTTTTATTGGTGGAGCCCATAACCAAACCCACCAATAAAATACATGGACACTCTTAACTAGTACTAGTGTGTTATTAACGTTGATTAACGTTCCCGCATGACCTCGTCGTACAGGAGTTGCTTGAGTTGCGCCGGTTCGACCTTTTTGTAGTCAAAGTTGCTGGTCTCGGGAGGGTCGTTCGTGTCGAACACCATCGCATCCAGGTCTTCATTCCGACACGAGTCAAAGTACGGGTGCTGGAGGGCGTCGGCCGCCGAGATGCGGTCGGTTGGGTCAAATTGCAATAGTTTGTCGAGCAAATTCAGTGCCTACGCCCACATGACTTGGTTTATGTATGTCTGAATCGACAAAGTACCTCTGGGTTGGCGTGGGGAAACACATCTGGCCACGCCACTTTGGCAATTAGCGGACTGCGAGTGAGTAGCTGGCGCCCTGCAAACCGCCGCGCGCTCGGGTTATCGCAGAATGAAAACGTCGATGGAGTGCCCACGACCTCGATGATGACCTACATATAACCAGGTTTGATCCCCTATCGGCTTGTAATAACCAGAAACGGCATACAACGGTATATATACACCACAAACACCTCAAAACAGTGATCAAGGGTTTTGAGTTCGTTGTCCTGTATATATACCGTCGTTTTGTTTTTCCATATGAAGAACGAGATATATGTCAGGATGGGAATACCTTGAGCTGGTCGACATAGCTCTTTCCTGGAAACATCACTCGGCGCCCCAAGAGTTCGCCAAAGATACACCCCACGGACCATACATCAATCGACATTTCGTATACATTTGCGAGCAGGAGCTCCGGGGCGCGGTACCTACCGAAAAAATATATAAATATATATATATATATATAGATCACTTTTCGTCATCAAATATATAATAGCACTATCCACAACACGTCTCGTTGTCCAGCACGACACTATGCACATGAAAAAAAAAGGTATATCATCACACACAAATATACTGATCTCCACCCTTAAACGAAACGAAGCAAATTATGCAATTCACACAGTAAATTAACTCTTACAGGTATTTGCAGGCTGTCTGAACCAACCATTTATACATGCATTCAAGCGCTGGGCGTCTCCAAGTCAGAGCTGAGTATGCCAGTGCGTCTCCAGCAGTTTC